GAAATTTAGACAGTTCAGACAAAGCCTTAACTCTCTGGGTTCAGATCATCCAAATGTTCAAACACCTTTATTTTTCATTTAAAAAGAAAATGCTGTTTAATTTCCATAAAGCAGTTTGTCTTTCAACGCTAAGTTGTATTTGGATACATCAATTCTGCTTTTCTGGGTTTAGTTTTCATTTTTTTCCTGTGGGCTTGTATATTGCAAACTTTGAATAGTCAGCTAGAGTCTTCAAAAGGCACACTTCTGGAAAATGAGCACTTGCATTCTTAAAACCTGAAAAATGCTCGTGACAATTCTGAAAATATTTCTTAATGTATAATATCACTTTTCATAAGATCTATTAAAATAATACTTCTCCCCAGAATTGAACCACAATTAGTAGGTGGAAAGCCATCTTAGACAGCTTTCTAAATTGTCCTTACATTGTTTTTACTTATTTTACTAATTAGTCAAAAGGTTTCTAGAAATGTTTTTTACAAATATCATCAAGGCAGAGTAAGAATATTATGAGTTTTAATTTTAAATATGAAACAAAAGCTCATAGAGATTAATTATATCAATTACAACCAAATTTGTAGTGAGACTATATGTGAAAAAATTCAGATTAGTCAGTGAAATCATGTACTTTTTTAAAAAGAAATGAAACTTTGTCTGAAACAGAATGGCCAAAGGTGCATGTTATTTACCTCTCTGCTATTGCTCACAGGAAGTGTTCCAGCTTGTCGCACCTGTTGATAGAAACAAATCCCTGTGTATCAGAACATGGCTTAAATTTAACTCAATTTGCTAATTGGTTTGTTAATTACAGTCTTGTTCTCTAAGGATTAGATGCCTGTCTAAAAGATTTGCTCCAGTTCAAGAACAAGTATAGGGCCTGATGCAGAAATGATAAGCTGCTGTTGCCTGTGATGTATTATCCAGGAGCATGTATTTAAGTGCTTTAGTTAGTAAGGAAGGGATTGCTGAATCAGAGCCTAAATTATCATTTTGGTCTTTCCTGGTGCTAAAATCTATAATCTCATCACACACACGCCATCTCCCTTGCAAGGCAGCTAAGAACTCAGGGCTGGCCACAAGGGCCGTGCGCAGATGTGCAGTATGTGGAGCCGCAAACCCATCTGCAGTGCCACACACCGCACATGCAGGCATTCCCCATGCTGCTACCTTGCAGCATAGGAGGGAAGGGGGGAAATTGTTGGACTGTGGGAGATCCTGGGGTCAAAAAAATCCACGCCATAAAAAGCAGTGTGGCTCACATGTCAGAAGCGTGCGCTGTCCAAAACCAGAGCCTGACCAGTCAGAGCCACCTCTGGCTGCTGGCCAGACTCCTTGCTGCAGGAGTGACACAGCTGCAGCTCCCCAAGGCACCCAGGACCCCAGGTAAGGCTGCTGGGACCAGCACAGTTGCTAGCCCCACCTCCCCTACCCCACCCAGGGTAACCTGCCATGCACCAGAGCACATGTGGCACAAATATTCCCTTGGGACAAGTAGCAGCGGCACAAGCTGTTCTGCTGCTATGTGTCCCAGGGAAACATAAGTTCCCATTCAACCAGACATGGCCAAGGAGCCCATCTGCTGAACTGTTAAACTTAGCATCTTTCTTCTGGTAAGTCAATGAAGAGCCCAGATCTACTGTTTGCTCCATTTAACTGCATTGCCTCGCTGTTGTTAGCCATCTGACACGTCTTTGAATGCCAGTATAAAAGAGCTTGTGCATAACAGAAAGCAAATCAACAATCTCTTGGCTCTGGTAGGACTGCTCACTACAGGACCACCTGGCTACTTGTAGTCTTGGTTTAAACAATCCAAGTGCTTCAGCTCCTACAGTTTGTCTTGGGAGACTATTCCAAAATATAATATCTCATTTTTTGTCTTTGCTTTTCTAACTAAATCAAGCAAGCGGATTAACTTGGATAAAAGAAAAGTGACAGCATAAACATACTCACTGGTAAAGAAAATGCTGTTCCTAGGAGACAAAACAGCAGAATTACAGTCTTCATACTTTGAATTGCTACCTGCATCAAGAAAACAATATTACTTTTTCTCTCTCGTTGGCTGTTAGAATGCAGCCTATCATTACCTAGATATGACCTCTACCTTGCTGCAGCAAGTAACTTCTACCTCTGTTTCCAGGATGCACCACACAAGTGAGCAGATTGACCAGGTCACAATGGTCTCTGACAGGTTTCTCTCAAACAGCTCCTGCCTTTTTGAGATGTTACTGACTCCCACTCCAATTTAAACTCTGCCCCAAGAGACCAGTCAGAAGGTAGGAACTCACATGAAGTCATTTTGGTTTCGTCCACTGCCCAACACTACATTAGTTGTGTTATTAGCCACAGCCATCATTAAGTCACATGGTGTCTGTGGTTACCTAGTGAAACAGACAAAAAAATCATGACTTAAACAAAAGCCAATGCGTGTCCTCCAGCACTTTCTAGGAACGATGGTAGAAGTCCAGAATCAGGCTACAGCTGTGTAAGAGCTGATCAGAACATTCTGCACAAAATTATCTCACGCTGGAAAATGTGATTTCATTGAGACTGAAATTTGATATGGAGCAAATGTTGATTAAGTGCAATTAATCAGCTTTTGGATCAGTAGAATTGACATCTGAATTTTGAAATTGGCCTGTTTGTGTTAGAAAAAGGATCATTTCTCTTTCTTCATTTATTGTCCCTGTAAATTCAGTTGTAATTGACACAAATTAATCTTGCTGAGCCTTCACTACCTATAGAAATTCAGAACAGTGTCTTTACTAAATACCTTTTTACCATGTTGATTCATTTCAAGTGAAGCTGTCAAAATTCTCTGTTGCAACATTCCCCATCCAAAGTTCAGACGTATTTTGTAAAAAATACTTGATATTCTGATTTGGAAGGGAAATTTTTTTTCAAATAAGTTGAACACCTCCAACTTATACCAGTGCAGCCCCATTGGGTCTGGGCTAGAACATGTTCCACAGGAGCAGGCCTCGTTTTTACAAAAATATATATTGGGGTGTGCATCAGGATCTGGGAAAACTTCTGTTCACCAGAGTACCCCAAGGAAAGACAAGGTTCAATGGTCACAAACTCCTGGAAAACCGTTTTAGACTGGACATAAGGAAAAACTGCTTTACTGTCCAAGTCTCCAGAGTCTGGGATAGACTCCCCACAGAAGTGGTGCAAGCACCTACTGTGGACACTTTCAAGAAGCATTTGGATGACCCCAGCTGACTTCCTGCCCTTTGGGCAAGGGGCTGAACCTGATGATCTCACAAAGTCCCTTCCAGCCCTATTGTCTATGAAATCTATGAAAAAATATACTCTACTGCCAGATGAAACTTAGCTCAGATACATGGATCAAGACAAATGCTTCTAGTTTCGACAGGCCACAAACTTCTACCTTCACTCACAATTAATCAGAATCCCCTTTAGAACTGGTGGTTTTATATCCTTCCTGGATTAATCCTGTGAGAAGGTCCTTTTCCTTAATAGAAGTCAAGCCAAACCCTTAAGGAGCACTAAATTCACTTTAACAATTAAAGTAGAAAATGGCTTAATTTTGTTTCTACTGAATGCCATTAAGCTCCTTCTACTGTTTGCAGGTAACATTTAGAAATCCTCCAGGCTCCACGTTTTCTCTCCTGCTTGCAATAAACAAGAGGGGTTTTGAAAAAGCGAGTCATTTCTCAACCAGAACCCACCTAATTCCTGAATTAGGTAACTGGTTTTAATGCTATAATTAGACGTCTACAGAGCTAGAACACGTCAGAGGCTAAAACAAAACACCCAGCATCAGCAAAGCAGAAAATTAACTTAATTAGTTTGTATTGACTCTGGAAACAAAAGGGATTTTGGGGGTCAGGGTGTAATTGTGTTAACTGCCCCTATGATTTTTTCACACCATCTGCAGGCAAAGAAACTAGACTCTGTTGTTCGGGTTAGGACTTAAACAAGACAAATGGTATGTTCTATTGAAGTAAGTACTAAGGTAAAATATAAATATCACATGATACTTTATAATAAAAAGCAAGAACCACTGAAAATTATGTGATTCATACAACTAGGTTTAAAGTCGCTTGTATCACCTGAACTAATCTTGGTTTAATGCAGGTGTAATTACAACAAGAGTGAGATGGAGGAATGAAGAGATTAAACATTTACACTGGTATAACTGGCTTTACACCATTATAAAAACATAACACGGAGACATTTCAAGCCTCCAAACCAGGGCAACATCACCCAATCCAGTGGAGAATTACAACTGAAAGAGTCAGGGGTAAAACCCCATCAGTGTAGGTTACACTCTTTTAGGTTTCTTATGTCTGCATCTACCCCTGGCCAGTCATTTGCTAAAGGTAAATGAGTTATTACCTCTGCCTCTTGCAGTAAGAAGCAGGAAGCAGTACTGCTTCCTGTGTGAACTATCCTGGGGATAGCTATATAATTTTTTGTTCCTGATTGTGGTATAATTTACATTGGTATACAAAATTGATGTAAATTATACCAAGGCATATATTAATCTGTCCATGCCCTGAAAAGTGCCTGTTATGCCTCTGACCCTTACAGACATTATATCAGATCTGAGATCAGGTTACAAAATTGTGGCCATGGTCATCAATAAGGATAAGCTTGCATTTTTATTAAGTTGTACCTATTCTGTGTATAAAAGGCTGGTCCTAAAGCTGATTGTATCAATGCATCTTTGGATCATCAATATTGGTAGGGAGTGAGTCCTCTTTGGACCAAAGTGAGTGCAGACAGAAGTGCAGCTCCCAGCTGCAACTCAGAATGATTTCTGCAAAGGGTTCTGAGTTACAGGGTTACCCCAGGCCAAACAGAAGTTCACTGTTGGTTCCAGGGGGAGAGGGATCTAGCTGGGGCTGGGATCCTGCAGACAGGTTTCCATAGCAATGGCCAGGGATCTCTGCCAGTGCTCCTGTTTTCAGAATGGGAGGGGGGAAAGGCAGTGGAGGGAGCTCATTCTTGGGGCTCCCTAGTTAGTGCTAAAGGGTGGGGTGGGTGAATTGGAGGCCCTCCTACCTTGGGGGGCTCCGATACACCCACCCCACCCTCCAGGGGTGTGTGAAAAAACCCCAGACTGAACTCCCTGTGCTCCCTTCCCCACTCCCATTCTGAAAACAGGGACAGGCTGGGAGCTTGCAGACACAAGTTACAAAAAACACTACATTTTGAGATGTCTTTATCTGATACCTCATGCAGTGGGGATCCGTCATTTCTAAGCTGTCTGCAGCCATGCACTTGTGTTTGGTCCCGGCTATAAACTGCTTTCTGTGGCCAGATTGGGTAAAAATTGTCACTTCTGTCTGCACCCTAAACTCACAAAAAATCTTGTTCGTATTGAACTGCAATACCCATGTCTATATGAAAAAGAGGGAGGCAGAAAGTCCATGGTTAAGAACCTAGAAGTTGCTTAACACCAGAGAGCTAGTGAGCCAGAGAGTCAGTGGTGAGGAACAGAAATCCTCTGTAGCCTAGAAGGGGTGTGATGGTCGTGAAAAAGAATTGCATCTTCTTAGAATGTTTCCTAGCTGCCATAATCTTTAGGGTGCCAGATAAAACTAATCATTGTGTATAATGTCAGGTCCTTACTTCCCAGGAATGGTTGGGGGTCTAACAATGATCTAGAGAATTTAAATGTGGAATGGGATGCCAGTAAAACTTAGGTACTTCACTGTTAGGTTCCTTACCCTGAAGGAGGTAAGGGTTCATGAGGCATCCAGAGGTGTGCACAGCCCAGGCAAACAGCAAGGGACCACTGAGATGCTCCAGCTATCTGCTATGGCTTTTATTTTAAAAGGAACCACATCTCCGACCAGCAGCATGGGACACTGATGACTTCCAGCCAAGTGAACAAGCAGTACCCTTTGAAGTAAATGCCACAGCAAACTGCTAAGTGGGTTGTCCTTAATTCAACAACCCAAGTTGTTTAGCTTCAGCTTGCCTTACTTTGGCAAACTAAGCTGGCTGTGAATCACCCAGATAGAAATATTCTGGGCTCTACTGTATTAGGAAATGAGCTGAGCTATGCTCATTTGCATGTGTATTTATGGGCATTTGCACCCTGTTTTTCATGGAAAATGGAATGTGGTCTAAGGTGCCATGAGATTATCTCCATTTTTTTAAGCTAGTTATTACCAAAGAATGGGCTTTTCAAAAGTGCTGAAGGAAGTTAGCCACACACCTCCTACTACCAGTCACAAGGCATCTAGCTGTCTCAGGGAATTTTAAAAGTCTGACCCAAAACAACCCCTGTGTCATTTGTTGGACACCTTGGAACATGGACCTATTTGCTGTCAATAAGCACTAGTATCCAGCTGCCCACAAATGATCTGAACCTCAATGAGTTTTCATATGTATCCCCAGTGAAGTCAGCAGGAGATTTACTGCTGAGTGCAATAAGAACAGAGTTAAGCCAACATAGAGTGCTTTCAAAAAGCATGCTTGTTCTCTCTAGAGATTTTCTGTCTAGAGATTAACTCTAGAGAATTGAAACTGTTTTGGTTCCCGACCAGCACCATTGCCCAACATTGTTTATATCAGAGATTTTCCTTTACAATTAACTTGATTAACTTTAATCAAAGAATAATACAGTGTGGGAAGGGCTTTTGTCTCTTGCAAAATGTAATCAGTTGTCCTGTCTTTATTCTTATGTGGATTTATTTTCTTCCTGGGAAATTCCAGACTCACTCCATTAACTAGTATTCTTTCTCCTCCTTGTGGAAAATACTGAGCACTGCATATATCATATGAGCAGCTAAAGAATTCTGTCTTGAGAGTTTGGCTGTGATTGAGGTTAGGCTTACTTATCTTTTTCCTCTGTGAAATACAGATGGTAGAAAACTTTTGAATGAATGTTGGAGTCCAAAATAGTCTCTTTCATTTCAGAAAGAAAAAAAAATTGTCAAATAATCAAAATTCCTCATTTTTGTCATATTTTTCATATTTTAAAATTAAAGTT